CATAGAAATGTTTAAAATCGTTAAGAAAATCATTTATTTTATTAATTTTTTATGAAGAAAATTAACCACATATGACCTTGAAAATCAAGTTCAAGGACAAATCCAAGATCACCATATAACACTTCCTTATAACCTTTATAACTTTTGTAACAACTATTATTCCGATTTCTGCAGTTCCAGAGGAATGATTCAAGTGGGAATGTGAGTATTCGAAATCGGTAAGTTTACAATAGTCACTTTTTTATTAGTGGTGATATTCAATCGCTTATAACTTTTTAAAAATGCATTGTAGCAAAAAAGGGCTAAAGTAATAAATTTTAGGTTTTTACAAGATTTTTCGATATCTATCAGAATTTTTTACCTATTACCGATATTTTCAAAAATATAAGTGATTGAAGAAATTGAAAAAACTTTGGAAAATGGACACTTTTTAAAGTGGTATAAAAAATAGCAAGAATGCCTTCAAAAATTTTCGCGCCCTATTGCAAGATAGTATTTTGCCTCTATTTTAATTTGCCTTTTTTTATTTTTATTTTACGGTTAATAAAATCGGAGATATTCTTGTTTAAAGAATGGCTTTTCTTGGACAAAATTTTGTTTTGTTAAAGAAAAGTATTGTATGTGAATTGGACGAATCAAAATCGTTTGATTAGTATATTTTTTTTTGATTTCGCATTAAACATACCGGCTGAAACGGGGAAGGTCGCTGTTAGCAACGAAGATAACTCAATGAAACATTCATTTTCGTTGTTCTTAGTCAATTAGTCAAGCTAAACCATGGTGTATAGTTTCTTATTCCAAGCTCTCCGAAAAACTATACACATACTATAGCTTTGTTAGGCAGCAATAGTGGCACCATACCGTAGCCGCCTAACAGAACTACGAGGTATTAGGCAGTCGCTTAACTCAGCTCCTATAAGACCTATCCTTTTATGAGATGAGGAGCTGCATGAGTTTCTAGCCGCGGTCAAGCACGGAAGGCTTTGCCCGTAACCGCGAATAGTAATTGCGATTATTGTTATTCTCCGTTATTCAATTTTGTTCAACAAGTTTAGCATGGCATTTACGCTATCGGATGATTTGCCGTCTTTTGATTTCTTATCTAATTTAATTTTTGCGGATTTGCCAATTTTTGAGAGACCCAGCCAGTTGTAACACCTGCGCTTAATTAAATGACGACGAGAGTTCATATTAAGCGATTTCATTTTTCATTGTTTGTCATTTTGCCTGAAATTATAGTTTGCTTCGCTCATGGCTGCGTGTCTGTCATTTTACAGATCAGTCGTCACTCAACAAACACCTTTGTCGAAAGTCAATAAAAAGCTTTTGAATATTTTTGAAGGTGCTTCCGCTTCGTATGCAAGTTTCTACAATGAAAGATTCATTGATAAAAATAAAGGTTTATTTGAGTCAATATCAAAAGTTAATTTTCCGAATTTTAAAACTATTGGGAAAAATGAATTTAAACATGACTCTATTCCGAAAATTTCTGCCGAGAAACAAGTTATTGCTGCTCAAAGAATGATTGAATTGACGAAAGAAAGAAGTTATGATTTACGAAAGTTATTTGTATACGAACTAACACACATCAATAGTTTATTTAACAAAGACGGTTGTGATGTTCGTATCACTTATAAATAAAAATAATTCGAACTCTCGTAATCTAGCTAATGAGTCAGAATTTGTTTCCAATGATTTTACTCTAATTGTCAAGAAAATAGATAAATGAATCAAATATAATAAATAAGTAAATCAAATATACATAAGTAATTGCAATATATCAAGGAAAGTCAGACAATGCCCTAGTTTCTTATGGTGCGAATTGTCCCATAAGCAGAGCTAAAGTCTTTCTTTGATAGGATATAATTCGGCCCAAGTTTCTTATAGCGCGAGATGTTCTATAAGTCGAGCTCAAATTATAAGGAAAGGTTAGTCTTGCTTAGTTAATCACAATGAGAGAAAGAACTTAGATATTAAGCCAAGTTTATTCAGACTCATGCGCTCACTTTGCAAGGCTAGAAGTGAATGAATCTAGCCTGTGCAAAGGTGGGCCTATTTATACATAGATTTTCCCGCTTATTATTGCAGGAGAGATTTCATCGAAAATTCGAGAGACATTCACGAATTTTGAGAAATGATTTTTCTTAATTTACAAGTAAATAACCATTAATATTAAGTTTTTAACATATGTAAATTTTACAGAATTAGTTATTTGTTGATTTTATACAATATACAGTTATCGCCAATAGTGTCGTCAAAAGTTATTAACTAATAAAGTTAATTAACGTGATATTACATTATTTACAATAGAAAATTATTAAAATTTCATATAACCTTATAGTTGATTAATTTTGGAAGTGTTTTCCAAAATTAATTATTTAAATTAATTAATAACTTTTGAATTATGACTAATTTTTCATATTTGTAACGGTTTTCTTGTAATCTTAATATGCGATTATTAGATTAATTATCTAAGATTTCTCAATCATAAAATTGTTATTATCAAGTATTAACTTAATATTTTCGTTCTATATATAGCTTATTGTTTAAATAAATTATTAATTGTTTATTTATTAATAACAGTTGTTCTTTAGCTGTTATTAATGAAACCAATTCTTACTCATGTTCTATGCTTATTCATTTTACATATAAATTATTTATATTTTTCTAATATTTCATATGTTAATAAATAAATTAACTTTACATATTGATATTCATTATTAATTTATAATTGAATGAGATGTTGTGAATCTGTATGTTAAAATCTATATAATCGATACTTTGTTATATTCAAATTATCTATAATTAACATATTTTCTCAACATTATGGATCATTATATCTATGTCTATTATTTGTGACGTCACGCTATTTGTTTTGACTCGACTCTTATTTGTATACAGTCGCGTAAACAGTGAGGTAGCGTCGCTTAATGTATTGTTTTGACTAAACAGATAAATACGTTAGACTAGTTGCAGTCATTTAATAAACAGCTCATAAATAGGACTGTTACACGGTTCATTGACGAAAGAAAAAAATAAAAGTGATCTGACGAAAGAATTAGAGAAAATGTCGAAAGTTGTCAGGAGTGCAGATCTCGAAAATCTAGATAATTTCACGACGATTGTTTATGTCATGATTGTATATAGAAAACTAAAGTGGAAAAATCTCAAGATATTCGCAGAATATTAACATGCTTTTCGTAACGCTATGTTTTCGAGAGTAAATAAAGGAATCACGAGTATTGATTTTGTTTTTATTTCCTACGTGCAAAACTCAATGAAAATAGATGAACGATAGACGCTACAAAAATCAGTATATTGACATTAACGTTATTGACGAAGACGTGACACTTCCGAAGGACGATAATTTATTTTCGGGATCGAACAAGAACAAAACTTTGTTGCAAAACTTCATCAAGAAATATATATTGAATAAATACCAAAAGTTTTGCCAAAAATAGAAATTATTTGCAGTGCTAATATTGGTTACGAATGTTAATCAAACAATGATCTGAATGACTCCAAAATAAATATTTTGAAGAGAAATTACATTGAGTCAGATTGAATGGTGGTACATACGTACCAGACAAGTAAAAAAGGAGTTGAAAAAGTACTAGTATTATCTTCTGACATGATGTTTCAGTTTTATTATTGTTTAAAGAACAATTTGAAGTGGTTTCAAGGTATTGATATAAATGAAATAAATATAGGAATATTTTATTTGTTGAATAATTGATTATTATGATATTAAAAATTGTAGGAACTTTGACCTCATCTTGGTTCGACTGGAAAGAAAAGAATTTTACCGGTACATACAATAGCGAAAAGTATTGGATGAGAATTGTGCTCTATTTTACCTGCCTTGCATCATCTTATTGATGCGGTTTACACGAGCAAAGTTATAGCTTTAAACCGGTTTCAAAAAAATTGACTAAAGTCTGTTCAATATATTATATTATACGAAAAATACAAGCAAGGAAAATACAAGGTGTTATAAAGCAAACTAACGGATTGGTGGTCGCAGTGATATTGATCTTTGTGATGCAGCGTCGAAGCTCCGCTCGATGTTGCTCGCTACAATCGCGCGTGCGTAGGAGGCAAAAGGACATCTCCTTTCTAAGCGCTGACGAATTGGAAAGCTGATTTTCACTTTCCTTTTCTCTCAGCCTCGGTCTCTTTTTCTTCTTTGCGGATGGCCGACACGTGCAGCGTGGCTATTTACAACGGTGACAACACTTTAGCTTTTCAGTGTAAAATCTATCAAATTTCAACGTGTTGAGATTATTATATTATCAACGATTGAGGTATTATTTTTCTTTTCGAATCATTATTTATGACCCGCCGAGTCGTAGCGTTCAAATAACCATTTTATGAGCGTTCGAATTCCGAAGTTTCAAGTATTGAAAAACGAAAACATATTTAACGAGCGTGAGAACTAAGAAAACTATGCAGTTAAAAATGATATGTTAAAATACCAAGCAAAAAAGTTTTAAATATTTGCGCGGCTGCCTTACTACAATCGTGGAAAAACCACGTGACATAAACAGTATATCACTGTCACAGCACTCACAGCGTCATCGGATTTTCATCACTGTGCGGGAAGCATGCTTGCCGTTTTGATGTTTGTCCACAAATCAGCAGCTATAGACAGAAACAGTTTTTTATTTTTGATAATTTAAATGACTGATGTATCTTTGATTTTATTACAGATACCGTTAGCTCGTCTGAAGAACTAACGATTGATCTATGAATAATTTTTTTATAAACAGATTGTTTACGAATTTACTGTAATTCTGATCTGAATGCTAAGATCTCAGCATCCATGAATGATTTTCTTTTTTTTAAAGGGTTTTTCGAGGACGAACTAACAAAAAACAAAGATAAAAAGTTACTACCTTTTTTATGAATTTTCTCGTGGCATATTTAATTTATCGATTATCTTAAATAAACTAATTCTGACTACTATCTTTTAAGACCGCTAAGGTTAAGCATTGGCGGGGTAGAAGCATGGAGTATATAATCTCCATGGATAGAAGTTGGTTCATCTTTTTCACCTTCTGTTCATCTTTTATATACAAAAAAATTATAATTATTATTGAATTGCAAATCATAAACATTTTGTAAAACGAATTATGTCAAATTTAAATATCGATACAATAGAAGAGGATGCAGCAGATTTACAGTTTCCTAAAGGTGAATATGCCGATACTTATATTTTTTAATGAAATAGAAATAGAAAATAGAAATTAAAAATAAAGTTGCTGTCTAAATTTAAAGAACAAATTATATTACTTAGTTATGAAATTGTTATAGCTATTTAAAAATTATAAACAGTTAATATAATCTTTGTATTAATTTTATCACTTGTAAGCATTATGTCTTTAGTAATAATTTTCATACTTTCAGACTGGACATCATACAGCAAGCATTGTAAGAAACTTAAGATGTCAGTCGAGAAAGGGGAACATTATACTTTGGACACAAATTGTTTCATTTGTAAATGTATCATTATCGAGCCATACATTTACTGTGCCATTTGTAATATTATTTTATGTACTACTTGTTTTGCAAATGGTAAAGAGAAATCAGAACATGAAAATAATCATGATTATATAATTATTCATAATGATTTCCAATTAATTAAAGATTCTGGCTGGCTAGCTTGGGAAGTAAAAAGTCTGCTTGATTTATTACATGAATATGGTTATGGAAATTGGGATGATATATCTAATAGATTGAAAGGAAAATCTTCAATTGAATGTGAAAGTTATTATATCCAAAATTTTGTAGATGATCAATCAATCCCTAATTTACCCAAGTTAAAAAAATCTACTTCTAGTTCTAGTAGCTTTGAACCAATATCATTTATATTTCAATTGGAAAATATTGAAAATCCACCCAGATTTGCATCCGGAACTATAAATTATAAGCTTATAGGCGGTTATAATGCAGCTAGATCAGACTTTGAAGTAAATTTTGACAATTATGCTGCACTAGAAATATCCAAGTTGAAATATGATAGCTCTATCATTGAAAATAGGAATTGTAATTTGGAACAATGTTTGCAAATTGCTATAGTGCAAAGTTATAATATGAGATTGAAAGAACGTGCTCGCAGACAAAAAGTTATAAGGAATCATGGATTGATATCTATACGAAAAATGACATCTTGTTTATTACGATATAATTATACAGTAACGAGACTTCTTGCTGACAGAATGAGAATTTTTAGTCAAATTTTAGATATGATAGAATTTGATTCTATGATGGAATGCTTACATAGAATTGGAGAGTTAAAAACTAATTTGAACCAACTCTTTATTTACAGAAAATGTGGTTTGCAAAATTTTTATAGTGTTCTACTATTTGATGACCTAAATAAGCTTCGGCAAGAATATGATAAAAATAAAAAGCAACATTTAGTTAACAATGATTATAATTGGCAGAAAAATATTTCTGTTGAATTAATTAACAATACTTCATTATCTACAAATCTTCGTAAGAGAAAAATAGCTCCTCCTCTTGATATACATTCAGGAATGAAAGAGTATAATAAGTTAGATAGAAACGAAAGAGACCTTTGCTCAGTGGTTAGAATTTTGCCAGAATTATACGTGGAAATAAAGCATTTGCTGATTAGTGAGAATAAAAAATGTGGTACTGTAAAGTTAGCACATGCTAGAAATTTACTGAAGATTGATGTTAATAAAACAAAAAAAATTCATGAGTTTTTAGCAAAACATCATTATATCCGAATTAACTAACTGTTTTGTTTAGAAAGAAAGAAAATTATTTCTAGGTTAACTCATAAGATTAAACTTTAAAATACATAATAAATAAAGATAAATTTAGAAAATAAAATATGTTTCTATAATTTTAATTTTTGGAGATCAATTAAAATTTGTAGATTGAAGATTCATATTTATTTCTTGACTTCAATTACCAATGAAACCCATTGTTTACACTAATATTCTTATTCTTACTATGTTATTCTTTTTTTTATCATACTAGAAGTTCATCGCGCGCTACGTGCGTTGTAAATCGATATTTCAATTATACATTGTTATATAAAAATTTCATAATATTTCATTAATTAAGTATTCATGTAAATATTAAACAAATTGTAAGTAAGTAAGGCCATACAATATAATTAACAGTATGTATTTTCAAAATTTAATTAATCTTGAAATAATTCCTTGTAAACGTAATTTTTTACTTTATTTGAATGTATTTGGCTTCCAAAATAGATTTTTATAGAATTAATTATCCACGATCTAACACGAGAGAATGCTACATACAATTGCCCATGACTAAAAACATCTTTTCGTAAATCAACGACAACTTTTCGGAAGGTTTGCCCTTGAGCTTTGTTAATAGTCATAGCAAATGCTAATTTAACTGGGAACTGTCTCCTTTTAAAGGCAAACGGATATTCGTTTTCACAATATAAAGTAATGCGGTTCAAGAAAACTATTTGTCCTGTTTTATCACCCGTTAAAATTTTATATTTTATTAAATGATTTGATAAATCTATTACTTGCAACCTTGTACCATTGCATAGACCTTCATTAATGCTGATATTTCTTATTAACATTACGATACATTTTTTTTTAAATGTAATTTGTAAGGTGGCAAGCATGGTGGGTTTAAAGCATTCAAATGTTCCGGCATAATATCATCGAATTCACCATTATTATTGTTTATGATAGTATCAATAGCAGTATAAAAGCGTTGCTCTGTGTCATCTAATAAATCCGTGATTTGTCTATTGATCTTATCTTTGAGCTAAACTGACCAATCAAAATCAATACGTCAGAACTCAAACTAACCAATCAAAATCAATAGAGGCTTCACTCTTTATCATTCTCTCTTTTAACAGGGAAAAACATTTAGATATTAAGGAATTGTTATAATACTAAAATTTTAAGATAGTCCCACCAAATTTTATATTTTGCCAGAATCAAACCAAAATTTTAAATAGATAGAATTTTGCATGAATTTAGAGATTCCGTAAAATTATATAGTAGATTGGATGAACACAGAACTTTGGATGATGAAATTTCATTGATAACATTTTGAAATCATGAGTATATAAGATATTTATTTATCAATAAATAATATCGTTAGCCATATGTTGTGTCAAATCAAAGGAATATCTAATGCACATTAAATTTTTGAAAATTCTAATTAACGAATAAAAATGTGATCTGTATTCATGCATCAAAATGAATGTAAAGAAAAAAAGGAGCGCATGAAGCGCGTTAAACACCACTAGTAATAATAAATGGCATTCTTTTCACAAACCATAACGTTTTTAGAATGTCTAATACAACTACTAAATTAATATCTGAAATAAACATATGATATTGAAGAAAAACAGGACTAATTGTCGCATTTTAGAGATGAAATCGTGAAAATAGCGACATAAAAACTTATTTTCGTAATTTTTCTAATATTAAGTGTGAATTAGTTCATTTGTGAACAAGCAGTCATATTTTTTTTATTATTTGTTAATTTACAATCTGTTTATTGAATTTTGACAATAAGTAAATGTGATTGCTATAATGCTAAGTGAATATGGTATGCAGTAGGAACTACAGTGAGTATTCCGTATTTATTTTTAAATTTGCGTATCATATACATTTTTTTATGTGTATATCATATAAATTTTAATTTACTTATATTTTCATCAATATATATTTTTTGAGTCTGGTAGTAGTGATCATTATCTTGAGAAGTTTACTAATGAGCTTATTTGGATGGTTTTGTAGTCTTGTGTTATATTTTTTATAACATTTTTATTTCTTTTTAACTGATATTATACAGGGTATACTAAAAGTAACTGTACATGTGGCGAAAAATTCCAAGATCGTATTTTCCGAGAAAATTGTTCAAACAACAGTTATCAGGTTTGATCCAAGAAAATAATCGATGACCTTGATTTACTTTATACCTTGAATATAACCTTTAAATGACCCTCAAAGTCAAGGTTGATCCAAGGTTCCTGCTCTTCATTTTCGAAATAAAAAATAGGGGTTCCCATTTAAATAAAAAAGCTGACTTTGAAATGATCTTCAAAAATGATCTTAGGGTCAAAGTTCAGGTCATCGACTATTTTTTTGGACTAAACCTTACAACTGTTTGAACAATTTTGTCAAATAATGCGATCTTGGAAAGATTTTTCAGGTGTACAGTTACTTTTGGTACACCCTGTATTATATCTGTAGGTCATTTCAAATTAAATTTCTTTTAGAAATAATAAAAGATAGTATATGCATGCGTTTGAAACATTTATGTATGTCGAGATAAATTTAATAAACACCAGTCACCTATCAATATTGACTTGTAGAAAATTATTTTATCCTTTGCATTATGAATAATAATTATTGTATAGTTTTTGTCTTAACTAGCATTTTTCCTAAAACAAATTATACATTAAAAAGATACAATTTGAAAAAATTATAAAAGCCCGCGTTAATAGCATGTATGTGGCGGTCACGCCAAGCTTACGTCTGCAGGCACGAGATAGCAGCACTCCTCAGTCGTCGGTAACGCGACGGCGCAAGCAAACACTCGTTCCTCGCAGCGAGTTCGAATAGCAGCAGTCAGTCTCTCACCGTCACTCGAGGTAGTTGGTGACACCTTTACCAGCTCCTCGTGGCAACTACTTAGTTGTTCTAACGCCAAGAGAATCACTCATTTCAGACTATACTTGAATTCATACAGCTCTGGGGGAGCAAACAGTCAACTGTAATCTAGTCAATAAAGTTCAGTTAATCATCATATAGTCTAATTCATTTCTCTAGCGTGCGAAGCAGCCTTCTACATGTAATCCGATTGTGTTACCAACTGAACACAACTTAACGTTGTCTGTCTTTTTTTTGTCTGAAATTTATGTTAGTGAAAAATTATTCTTGTAGCAACATTAATTAATCAAAGGGCATTAATTATTAATTAATATTAATAAAAAATCGATTGAGAGCAGCAATGGAACAGGATCGTCTAAACGATCTTTCGATTATGTATTTTTTCAAGCTCTCTTAATAGGACCCCATGAAATCAGCGTTTCGCCAAATTCTGTAATGTTTCCGTTCAAAATTCTATTCTTAAAAACGGTTATTCTTCTGTAATTCCTATAATTTTTATTGCTGATTGATAAGGAGTCCCAAGATTACAAGTCATTGATTTGATAATAAAAGTCATGACCTTAACCATTTAAAACTCTTATATAATATACTGTAAAGTCGTGCCGGGAACTTAATTATTGGAGAGGTAATACGTTATTGGCTGACATCATGCTACCTATCAGTAATCATAAAAACAAGTGTATGTGTCGCGATATTAGAATTCCGAATCTCGTCACCAAAATGTTGAAATCCCTGCAAAATATCATTTTTTAAATTATATTCTAACCATTTGTTAATCAATATTTCATCCCACATAAATATACATTGACGTTCTTTCGCAGACACACTACGCGATTTTATTTTCAAAATATCCGATAAATTATCGCATAAACCCAGATGTAAATCTAGCTTATTAACCCATTTCCTAATCAACGAAACACATCTTGTTACTTAAATAATCATATGTTTTCTGTGATTTATAAAATAGATTAATAGCAAACTTTTTCCGCTTGATCGCGGTCTAAGCTTTTTATGTAAAACTTGCATTTGAAAAATTTCTTGAATATTTTCATGTAAAGACTCAAGTCTCCTTTTAAATTTACAGCATATTTAGATTGAACTAATTTAGTATTTAATTTATTAGTTACATTCGATTGTTTTTTCACAGTGGTTTTCAACTTAAAATTTCCTAATTTAAGATGTGTATTTCGCTCTATCATTTTTTCTACAATTTCGGCATACTTTTTAGGACATACGGTGGCAAGGTCATTATTTAAATTAATCAGAGGCATATTTGTCGAAACCGGACGAGATCAGGAATACTTGAAGCTACTAATATTTCTCAAAACTCGATTGATTATTAATCGCGAGATGAATCGATTCATTATCGCAGATATTTTTGTAATAATCGATATGTTTTGAAGTCGCGATAGGTTTTAATAATTTCTTACCATGCTAGTAGGTAAACTAGAGAGGTCACAGATCAGGGGGTGCCTCAGATCAGTGATCTGAAGTGCATGAGCTGTCAGATCAGCACTCTTAGATCACGCGCGAGATTCCCCGCCCCTCTCCACCCACCCAATCTAAAATACGTTTTAAATATTAAAATCTATTTATGTGTAATTGAATTTATTTATATAATTTATTTATGTGTATATGCAATGCAGATTTAGCTCAGTGAAAAAAATGAGCAGACACTACGAGGAATCGAAATCACGTCCTATGTATCGATAAACCGTAACTTCTAACAACTGAGCCATGGCTGCTTTTAGCTTTGATAGTTCTTACTGTTATAACGGGGTTTTGACCCAGCGCGAGTCGCTCATTATATAATTTACGAGGAAGTTAGAAACAGCTCGGAGTGGGCCTCGTAATAGCCTGTGCGAAGCCTAACCCAGCAGCAACAGCAACGACTTGGTACAGCGTCTGTTACCTTAGCCCGCAGAGAGCGTCGTGTAGTCCTATGGGCGCTTTTGAGCGATCACGAAATTCAGGTGCGAGGGAGGACGGAACGGGATTGACTACGATAGGTAAAATGCTCAGAGAAAGAAAGCAGATATACAAAAAGCATCGAGTTTACTACTGAGGAAAGTACAGAGTTAGGACGCAGCGTAAGCGAGAGAGAGAGCGGCGAAAGGTTAGCGAGAGAGACACGTATTCGAAGTGGTACTTACAAAGACGTTCCAGCGTCAGCCCTGGAAACGGTGCCCTCAGCCTCGCACGCGGCTCGCGAGGACGCGCAGTGTACAGCTCGGGTGCAGTCGGGAGGCGGGCGGCCTTGAAGGTTCGCGCGCGTACTCGCAGGAACTGGCCCACCAAGGGCTAGGGA